GGTGCTCTCGGCTTGCTCTTCTTCCTCGGGCCACAAAAAGAGGAGGGAGCAGAGGACGCTCCCCAGGAGTCCCGATTTAGTAGCCAGGCCAAGCAGGGCGCTGAGGGTTTGGAGGAGGGGGGTACCCAAAAGGTGGGGACGGTCCAGGAGGATAGGGAGGCTGCGGGGGGATTGGGAAACTAGGGAGAGCGGGCTGGGTCGGGTAGGGGCACTGCGGTCTCCCCACCCCGGGGGGAAAGTAGGGAGGGTACCCGGATCTGGGTGGCGGCGGAGAGGGGTGAGAGCCAGGAAACGGTGGGGGCCGAGGCGGGCCCCTGGACGGAGACCAGGAATAGCCCGATGCCGGAGACGAGCCTCCCGAGGCGGGGTTGGGATACCCCGGCGCGGAGTCGGCAGCCTGCGCTGGCGGGTATCCGGGACCTTGAGGAGGCTTATAGGGAAAGGCGGGCTGGGTGCTCGGCTGAGAGGAAGCGACGTGTCCCACGGTGACCGGGGAGCCAGGGAAAGGAGCGGGAGGGAGAGCCCCGTGGGCCGTGGGGCCGACCGGCATGCTTGGGGCCGGGCTGTAGGGCAAAGGGAAGGAAGGAGCCCCCGAAGGGAAGGGCTGCGGCTTCGGCGGGTCTGCGGGCCCAGGTACGGGAGGAGGCAGCTGCTGCCGAGAGTCCTTGCCGGGCTCCTGCGCCGCTTCCGACTTCCTCAGTATCTCCTGCAGCTTTTCGACTCTGACCCGGCGCAAGTGGGACAACTTCCTCATCACGGCAAACCGCTCGAGAAACGTCTCCAGGGGCACCTCGCCCTCCAGGAACTTCTCGGCCATTTTCTGGAAGAGAAGACAGCCTCGGGTTCAGCACCGCAGCCCGCTACTCTTCCTCCCCAAGCCCAGCTTCGGATTTACGTCTCTGCCGGAGACACGCAGGGGACCACCGCGCCACACACAAGCAAACGAAGGGCAATCCGATTTTTTCGGAGCAACAAGGCCAAACTACAAAGAGATAATCTTTGATTTAAGGGATTAGGCTCGGGAGCGTAACTGCGAGTCTCCAAGGGCTAATCGCTTGAACTGCTAATGGATTTAAACCCTAAGCTCACCTCAGACTCCTCTTCGATTTTCTGGCTTTCCACCTGCAGGAGATCCAGCAAGGTCTGAGGATGCATCGCCGCTGAGAATTTCTCTGGGGAAACAAAAGAGAGAGGCAGAGCAAACCAGGGAAAAATCATTAGCACGCAGCCGTGCTGATCTCTCACGGGAGCACCCTCCCGCCTTGGAAACCGCTGATGCAAGGAGAAAACCTGCAGAGGAAAGAACCGTAGCCACTGCTGCACGAGAAGGTTTTTTTCCCCCCCCCGGGACAGCATCCTCGGCCTGTCCAACTGAGTTTGACCAAGAAACAGGAGAATTTAGGTTTTATACCCAGCAGAGTCCCTTCCGCCGCCACCCTAAAGAGTTTCTCTGCTCCGTACGACCAAGGTAGGGAGAAGCAAAAGGGAAGGATGTTGCACTAACTACAGCCCACGTGACCCCATCGGAAAGCGCGCAAGGTCCGCAAACCCTCACCCAGTTTCGCCTTTTGCTCTTTACACCGCTCAGCCAGCTTCTGCAGCTCTTCGTATTTGTTGGAGAGGTCGGCGCGCCCCATCTCCAGCGGCGCCTGGAACTTCAGGTTCTGCTCGGCCAAGCTCCGGTTGGCGGCAAGGGCCATCTCCCTCTCCAGCTGCAGCTCCTGAACCTGCGGAAGGAGAGGCGACGCTCGCCGCGGGCCGGGTGCTAAGGAAGGCCGGCCTGCTCCTCGCCGGCGTCACGCCGTCCGCGCGTACCTCCCGGGATTCCAGGGCCAGGCGCTCGATCTCCTCCGCGTTTTCCTGCAGCTCCCGGAGCTCCTCCACCGTCCGGTTCCTCAGGGCGTCCATCCTCCCAGAGGAGCTGCAGGCTCCTAGGACGGGGGAAAGGGAAGTCAAATGAAGAGGAGGTTTTCCAAAGCCAGCTGCAAACAGGCACTAACCCCGCTAGGGATTTAAAACCAGCTCTGCTAAACTGCTGGGAACGGCTGTGCCAGAGGGGTTCCCCTGCGCTACAAGGAATCCGCGAGGCCGAGGGCAGAGCGAGAAGGAAAACAAGAACGTATCGACTCGTTCCCGCTTCGGCAACTGTCGTCTTTTTTTTTTTTCCCCCCCTTTTCACAGTGTGTTTGGCAGGATTACTCGTGTGCGCCAGACGGTTTTGTCAAGGAAACGCCTACTCACAGCCACTCGACAGCAGGGCGACGTCACCCTGCCTCCCAAACCCCAGCTGGCTCCCAACCGCCCCGTCCCCTTCCAGATTCCCGTTCTGCCGAGCGAACCTCCCGGATCTGCTCGCACCCGAGCCTGCCCAGGGCCCGCGGGCGCCGGCGGGACTGCCGGCGCCACCGCCCGGCGTCTTCCCGTCCCTCGCCACCTCTCCAGTTCCTCGGAACCCGTCTCATTCGATGCGTTTTCTTTCCGCGTTGTTTTCCTTTCTAGCTACGAGGTGCCACCGTTTCCCTCACTTATTGCTGCCGCCCTTCGAAAACCTTAAGCGACGGCATTATTCATACGTGGCGAGCTCCGTCCGACACTTGTGGTTTTAAAAATCGGCGAAATGTTACTAAAATCAGGGGAAATAACGGATTTTCTGCGCTACGTCCGCGACTTGGTCCAAACAATCCGGGCTGGCTGATAATATTTAGCAAACATCAGGCGTTCGTGTCACAGGTTCTAAGAGGCGGGATGCGATAACGCGGGAACGCGCCAAAAACCAGGTGAGAAACACGGGAGCCGCGCGCTCCCCGCCGAGGGGGAAAGGGACGTACCAAGCAGCCGACGGGGATTTCAGCGTCGTCCCAATTGCTCGCGGCTCTTCCGCCTTTCGGCCGGGTGAAACATCCCGACGATATCGCTCCGGGAAGGTTGCGTCAGCCCCTGCAGGTACCGCAGAAGGACAAGGTTAAGGCTCAGCGTTACCCAATCTCTTCAGCCGGGATCCGGCCAAACCCGTCCGAGCAACAACCACCTAAAAGCTGGGAAATCGGCTCCCCTCCCGTGGACGCGTACGTCGTTTCAGCGCTCTGCAAACAGAAATAAACTTACGGGGGGGAGGGGGGTTGTTTTGTTTTGTTGTTCGTGAGGGTCACGGAG